TACTACTACTACTGCTACTGCTACCTTTTCTCATCCTTCTTTCCTGCTGCTGCTGCTCCTACCACTCCTGCTGCTGCTGCTGCTGCTGCTGCTGCTACTCCTACCATTCCTGCTGCTGTTGCTGCTGCTGCTGCTACGTACCGCTGCTGTTACCTTTCGAGAAATTCTGAAGAAATCCCAAAACCGCGCGGCAGGGTTTAGAGTCTAGAGTTAAGGTTGATATGCTAGTCACAAAGGGGGCGGTGTAGACGAGAACCATCCGAAGTTTCCCAAGGCTGGCGTGGTGCTGTCCAGGCTGATCGCCACGAAGCAGAAGCTGAAGTTCATTCTAGGCCGATCCTTTAAGTTCTGAGCTGAAGTTACCTTGGCCTGCAACCTTGAACCCTACAGAGCTCTGGGCCCTACTCAGCACTTGTTTCATCCCAAAGGCGTAATCCCAAGGCCTTAAACCGTGGAAGGTCTTTTTGACAAAGACGACAGCCGATCTCTGGATGAGAAGGAGTTCGCCAACTTTGTGACAGTGACTGGGCTTGACCACGAGTTTCGGGACTAGATCACACCGCAACATACAGAATACCCAGCACAACCAGCGATTTTCGATTCTCTGCCATTAGAGTTTAAAGTTCAGGGAATAGCGCGCCCCTCTAAGCTTGGCCTGGCCACGAGGCATTCATCCACGGCCTTGGCGCCTCTTTCGGCATGCGGCAGAAGGAGGTTGGGGTCTTGGGCAGGGTGGTGGGAGTGCAGAGTTGCAGCGTGTTAGGTTCTGGTTTTCTGCTCAGACCACGGCCACGACCACTTGACTCCAAGATGCGAGGATATAATGCCAACAGAAGCCAGCATCAGGCCGCTTTGCTAGAAGAGTTTGTTGACTCCTTTACGTTCTGCCCATGCGGTGGCTGAGACGGGCTCGGTTTGATTGCTTTTGCAACACGACATTCATGCACAAACCCTCACTGTAGCAATACTTTTGCTTAGATGTTGGAAGTGTTATATGACGACAACAATGACTTCTCTACTGGCCCAATTCTAAGAACGGACCTCAGGACCCAAGGCCGCAGCGTGAAATCGCTCCGTTCTTCAGCGTTGAGTCAGCGCCATCCGAGGATCATCGTCCAGCGGCTCTACAATCGGTTGGGCGAGATTGCTGCCAGCCGTCTCAAGGCGCACTGGGGAGTCTTCCCAGCTCTTCATATGACACAAACATCCTGCTCTATCGCCTCAATCCGAGTCCTAGACCCGACTCCTGTCAGGTAGGGGGCTGGCGAAAACCTCAACCAACCCCGCTGCCCTCGCATCCTTCCAATCTCAACCCAAAGTGAGCTCTCTGTGGCAAAGACGGGTGCGCTTCAGGGTAAAAAGGACCCAAAAGTGGGCGTCAAAGTTGCCAGGCCTTGAGGGACGGCGGTACCCAAGAGACACTGGCTTGCATCGCCGAGGCGATCCGCCCCTCGGCTGGCTTTTTGGTCGGCTTAGCCTTGGGCGCGATGAGACACCGTAACCCTAACCAAGATAAGTGCAGCGGGCTTGCTCAGGACTTTGGATCGTGGTGTAAGCCAGCTTTTCAGGACGTATCTATAATGGCATATAGCTTCGACATCGGAAGGTTGCATAGGTTTTGTGACCACTGCGTAACTGGGAAGCAGAGCACGCATAGGATTCATGGTTTTGCAGCTTTTGAAGCTTCTGCTGCTGTTCTAACGGGCAGGGTGCGTCACGCAAAGCATGTGGCAAGCTTCCCGACATTTCCCGAATGTACAGGCCGCTATTTGTTCATGCTCATCCTCTGCCACGAATAATAAACCGTGTAGCGAAAAAACCTGAACGCAGAGGCGCGGGGTCGGGAGAACATGGGAGAACTCAGCACTGCATCCATGAAGCCGAGGTTCACGCCAACTTGGCCGTCCTCAGGCAATTTTTTCTCAAACAAAAGCCCATTCATAATGCTTAGGGCTGAGAGAGATGTTGCCTTCGCAATCCTTCCTAGAAAGCTGAGCTCTCCTCACACTGCTTACTGCTCGTCCCTTCCCTGTGCTCAGTAAATCAACCTTGCCGTTGGAGCGATGTAGTTGGTTCCCAGCTGCGAGCTTGCCTTGTCTTGGGTTTGTGGATGTTTGCTGGGACATGAACTTTTCGGATTAAAGATGAACAAGCTGCAGCATTGCTCGAATCGTGGTGCCAAACTGTAAACAGTAAACACATTTCCTGCAGTGAGGCATGGGCTAGCAAGGAGGGGAGAAGACTTGTCAAAGTCCGCGCTCGCTGTCAAAGGCTTGTGCGGGTATTTCCACAGATGGTCCCTCTAATGCACTATGAGGCTACGGCTATATCAGGGTGCTTTCGATGTAGAGCTTTGAATTCAACCTTAAGCTTGAGACCTCATGAGTGTTCTATGTGGTGCGTCTATGCTGCCTGCATCGCGAACCGTGGCCCAGAATGCGCGGAGCCCCAAAGTCTGGATGCAACCCTTGTGCCCCAAAGTCCGAGGCCTTGAGTCAGCTTTGCTACCATGCCCAAGGGGTACAAGGTTCAGGGGGAGCCAAAGCCGTTACACGCTGAACCCGCGGATTCATAAACCCGACATGGTGTTTGACAAATGAAGGACCTCAAGCACCCTACCTGCGCCCCTTTATCCCACAAGGTTTCTGGGGCAGCTTGTCTGTTACCCATACCCGACGAAGGCGAAGCCACCACGGCAGCTTATACCATTCTCCACACTGGTGGGATGGTGCTTCCGAGCTTTGGCGGGGATGTTGGGCTTTTTCCAGGGCCTTTCTTGACCATACTTGTATTTTTTCATTCTCAGGTTCTTATATGGAATATAGTAGATCCCCAAGAAAGACGTGCATGATCGTCGTCAGTGTCTTGCAAGAGCTTCCGAGAACCGCCCAGCTTCAGGGTGCTACGGTTCGTGGTGGTGACTTGAAGCCGCTAGTCCGTGTCCTGCGCATAGAAGGCTCTAACTACAAGGCCAAAGCTGGACCTAGAGCAAAAAACACCCCTGATATACGGGTTTGACTAATGAGCAATCATTTGACCCTTAAAAGCCCCTGTATATTTCTCTCACCTGCATGCATTCACACACTCGTGAACATACACACACACCCACACACACAGATATATATATATATATACTGAAAACATATACCCCTACAGTCCCTATCTCTTGATACCCTGAAACACTAGTAACTAGTATGCCCACTCATCACGGTCGCCCCCCCCCCCATATTATTAACCCAGAAAGCATCAAGCCAGTTTCGGCAAACGGACTTTTGGCCTTGATGCCCAGGTTTTGAACATCTGAAAACTTCTGGTCTGAGATGCTTTGTTGTCCCAGTGGCCCATGTCCTCACGGGCTTTCCGAGCTTGCTGGTTTAGCCTAAGCTTGGGTCGTGTTCTCCCCTGTATGCTTTGTGGACTAGATGAGCTCCACACCAATCCTGCGTTGCTGGCTCTCAAAGCCCGGAAAGTTGCCGAATGCATAGATTCTGAGGAAAAGACCGCGAGGGTGTTATAGACAACTGCAGGACGAAGGATGATATGTAGCAATAAGAGCACTATTTTCCCTAGACCTATACAGCCCTGAAGCATCAAAAACTGGCTCAAAAAAGCGGTCCCCCCCCCCCCCCCCCCCNNCCCCCCCCCCCCCCGCAAAAAGACCCCAAAGTTCTGGCAACTTCGGTCGTCAACGGGAAGACCGCCGAGGCCTGAACTCACATAGTCCAAGGGCGGCATAGCCGACTGGGCTCGAGCCTACTACGAGTAGGAGAGCTTATGTAGCGGTTTAAGAGGGGTGGTGGGGAAAGGGGTGATCTAACTGGTGGTTTAGTGGTTTAGATGGGTTCTTTAGGTTTCAAGGTGTGTTTTTTTTAAGTCCCAAAACGGGTTGTTGCATTGCGAGTGCGAGGGTCGACAGAGGCTCTTGCAGTCCAGGTGAGTACCAGGACCCCTTGGCTTTGCCCTATGCCTTGTCCATCGAGCGCTTCTGCCCAAAGCTGCAGCCGCTCGACGAGGACCCAGAGGCCGGGTGAGAAAATCGCCAAGTATGGAGGTCTGACCAATTACTGCTACTATTTCTTCTTATCCCCTTGCAGTCCCGAAATCACCGTGCTCTGATATACCCCAACACCCTCTTGTACTTATCAAGGCCCGTACGTGACAAGGGCTGTAAGGCCGTGCAGGGTTTGGTTAGTCAAGATCAACGTACTCATGGCCTTCAGCGATAATTGTCCATATGACGGATCCCTGAACCGAACTGGTTAAAGAAGCCTGAGTGGCCTCAACGCCTGAAGCTTCTAAAGTTCTATCCCATGAAGAGCCAAGCCAGCTTCAACCCCGAAGCAGAGCAAGGGTTTGAGGACACGTGCAAAGAACCTTAGATCCGGAAGCCTTCACGAGCGCTCTGAGATGCGCACCTGCCCAGTTCCCAAGACCACGCTACCACCTTACGAACAACGTGTTAAGTCCTGAGCGTGATGGAAAAAGGCACCCTCCAAAGCTGCATTATAGTGGAGCCGCAAGTCCATCTGATTGAGAATCTGTGTTGTAGCACGACAGGAACCAACAACGATGCAGACCGCTGGTGAATAAACACCCTCCTCCCCTGACAGGGATTGTATTAGGGATTCCTTCATTCAGGCCCACAGAGCAAGGAGGTCAACTAATCTTCTTCCCTCCCATCATCAAGCCCTCTCGTCCCCCATTTAATATCCTGCTTTCAATTAAATAGGGTAAGATGAGGGGGAATGTTTTGAATATTCCCATTGAGCAGTCCTTTTTTCAGAACCCTTCCTTTGCGGACCCTGCAGTTCTACATTCCTTTTTTCGCCTGCAGCCTGCAGTTCCCGGTTGCCTCAAGAAGCACTTGAAACTGGAACAACCTCAATCTGAAATTCTGCAGACCCAAACCCATATGTTGGGATCCCCTAGCATGGCCGAAGGAAGCCGGCGCGATCTCCTAGTTGAAGGGAGGGCGGGGGCAAGCTGGTCTAAGGCACCTTCAGGTGATCGGAGGGCTTGATTGCCGGAAACATGGTGGTTTCGGGTTTCGATCCCTGGGACGAGGCTTATACAGATGAGGAGGAGAAGTTTTATCTCTCCCACAAGGGGCCGGTGCCTGTTCCGATCGAGAGCGCCGTGACCCATGACAGCAGAGTCTTGGCTAAACCCCATCCGGGCTCGAATCAAGCATCCTTCCTCACCTGCATGCTGCTGCTATGATGGTGATTCTGGTGATGATGAGCATGGACACGTTGCTGATGCTGTGTTTGTTGTTTGTTGCATTTGCTACCGTTGCTGTTGTTGCTTGTTGCTTTGTTTGCTGCTGCGTGATGGTGTTGCCGTTGCTGTTGCTGTAGGGATGGTGTGCTGATGAGGGGGCGGTGTTATCGTTGTCAGTTGCTGGTGTTGTGTTTGTTTGGGTTGTTGTTTCTTGTTTTTGTTGTTGGGGTTGTTGTTCTGGGATGTGGTAGTGACGGTGGTGCTGGTGCTTGTGCTGTTGTTACTGTGTTGTTAGTGGTGGCATGATTACATTGTTGGCGAGGATTGCAATCGTTTATCCTGTTGTTGCTTTTGTCATTGTTGTTTTTTTCTCGAGTTGTTGTTGGTAGTGGCGGCATTATGTTTTCCCCTCTTCTTCTGATCTTGTGTTCTCTATGGGGGGCCGTGATTACGGGCAAGATTCCAAAATGTCTGGCTCAACTTCCGATAAGTTGAAGGGGTAGAGCTCCTTTTCAAGGCTTCTGGGGGCCGGTAGGGCTGCCTCATCTGAGCTTCCGGGGCTTCCTTAAAGTATCAGCGTCCCTTGAGGGTCGTTCCTGGGCCTTGCCTTGAAGGTCCCTGATCTTGGTTGATTATAGGTTAGAAAGGGGAGGGTGGATTTGACTAGACCGCGCTGCTGGACAACAAGGCCTGCTGCAAAAAGGCTTCCCTGATTCGGTGAATTCAAGTCGCGTGCATGGCCTTGTTCGTCAAAGCTGAGGTATGCTCACTCGCAAGGAAGTGGTGTTGGCACGGGCCGTGTTCCAGTTCTGCGTGGAAGAGGCAGGCGCAGTCTGAGTGCGCGCGCGCGCGTGTGTGTGTGTGTATATATATATATATGTGTGTTTGTGTGTTTGGGTAGGGGTGGAGGGTGGAGAAAGGTCGTGAGGGTGGCAGCTGGTCCGTGCTTTGGCACACCGGAAGCCGAAGCTTCCCATACATCTTTCAAGCGCGAATTAATTTGAGCCTGCGTCCTGCATGAACATGTTACGGCATAGAAAGGACCATCTTCCCGAAGCCTTACTGTACGACGTCAAAGAAGAGACTTGTTCTGCCCGAGCCGAGTCCTAAACCGAAATCCCACATGTGTCAGCAAGAGACGAGGCCGGAGGGGTTCTCGAGGTAGTGGGGCCCAGAGTAACTTTAGAGAGCTTGACCGTTCCTCGTCTCATATACATATTACACGCATATCACTTGACACATGCATGTTTATATTTATATATCTATTTATATGTGTATTCATATTTATATTATATTATACTATTTTATATTATACTATATTATATTATAATATATTATATTATACTATGCTATATTATGTTATATTATACTAAACTATTTTGTAATATGTTATACTATATCAAGTTATGTTATATTATATTGTATACTACTATGTTTTATTATGTTCTACTAAGTATATTTTATTATATCCTATTATATTATATCATCTTATAATTTTCATATTGTATTGTATATTATTTTTACACTATACTGTGCTATACTCTATTATGTTATATTATATTATATATTATATTATACTTTATTATAATCCTTTGTATTTGTTATATTTTTTAGTATATTACGTTATATTATGCTAAATTATAATGTACTATATTGTATTACAATATATTGTAGTATAGTGAATTATTTCATATTATATTATATTACATTATGTTTTACTATATTATATTTAATTATTTCATATTATATTATATGATATCACATTATGTTATATTATGTTATATTATTGTGTTTTATTATAATTTGTAATATACTATAAATTATATATATATATATATTACACATATATATATATATTACATATATATATATATATTACATATATATATATATAATGTACATGCAGAGAGGGAGAGAGACGCTGTACACACATACATGGTTCTGAACACACACACACAGATATATATATATATACATACATACATACATAGATATATATATATATATATGTAAGCGGATGCTTATGTGCACTTATTTTGCACACAACACTCTGGACCTCCAGGGAAGCTTCCAGATGACGCACCAGGACCTGCAAAAAGGCAGGGCCAGCCTAGTCACTGATGTGACGGTTAGGGGCTTGGGGTTGGCGGGGCAATTGGCGTTCCAAGATGATTGGTTTTCTATCTCGTGGCTCTTGGAACCAGGTACCTGCCGACGTGCTCCCTCCAAATGCCAGCTCCCCAATTGTCACGCCAAACAGGAAAAACTCCACGTCCTAAGCGGAACCCGTAAACTACAAGCTTCCTTGCCCCTCATAAGAGGTATGGTTCGCATCAACATGAAAACTATGACCATCAGAAGACATGTTTATTTTGCTCAGGCCTTGGCCGGGAGGATCTCTCGGCAGATCTTTGGCGCCCCGGCTATGGCCAGGGTCAGTCTTGTTCTCCTGTCTTGTTTAAACTTGTCTTTTTCGGGTCTAGGAGGCTAGGATGTATTAAAGGGGCTTTGGGGGTTAAGCGGTTTGGGGTTGGTTGAAGCTCCAGTGATTTGTAGTGTTTGCTAGGTCTAACTCTCAAGCTGGAACCTCCAAGATCCTCGGAACCTTCCGTCTCGGCCCTGACTTTTCAACCCTAAGCCCCAAATCGCCCTGACTCTTCAGTTCCGCCCTCAGTCTTGAATCAGCTTCGTCAAGATCGCAATAAGCTCCGATCCCAAAATAAAGCTTCGGCCCAATCCCGAAACCTAAACCCGAGGCCCTGAACCCAGATCCGAAACCCTATCCCAGGACAAAGCTGCAACCTGCCCTTGATCGCATCGAGGGTGAGAGGTCTCGAGGCTCCGGACCGAATTTTCGGAAAGGTGTACGGTGTACTAGATAGGCCATTTGAACATCTAGCCGATTCCTTTATCACGTCTAAGAGGGTTTTCTTTACGCGTATTCTCAGAGGCGTCAAAGGTTAAAGGGCTAGCCTACCGGTTTTCGCCGCAAAACGGGAAGAGGCGTGTGAAAAATAAAAAGGGTGTGGAAGCCTGTATCGAGCTGTCATCTTTAATTAGGTGTCTGGGGTTTCTGGGCTTGGGATTCCGAAGAGACTGGCGCTCCTGGGTATGTTATGGAATGAATCAAGCAGAACTACACATGATTGCAAGGTTTAGTTGCGGCTTAAGGTTCAAGCCTGTGTGTTCGAGGCACAGTTTCTTTTGAGGCGCTTGCTGCTGAGATGTTTAGGGTTAAAGTGTGCCCCCTGTTGGGGCCGAAAAATAACAGAAGTTGACACAATTAGGGAACCCTCCGACCCCTGATCAGGTCCCGCAGTATTACCGGTCTGCGCTTGTTATGTTGTGGCTTCATGCTTTTTGCCGTGAGTAAACCCCAAATACTCGAACCTTAGGTCCTTAGGTTCCACAACTCCCTGTAGGATAGGCCTTGGGGGTATGTTCTACATCATCTAGAGCCTAGCTGCCATGCGGGATCCAAAATCAAAAAGAGCCTACCGAAACCTGCCACCCCAGACGCATAGCCTTGCCTGCTGTGCGCGAGTGTGAGTGTCGAAACGCATGAAGCTGCGTCGATGTTTGCTTTTGTGCTCAGGGTTTCCGACTAGTCTAAGAGTGGCATCATGACGACCTGTTTTTTCTTTTTTCCAAGGCATCCAGTCAGTTAAGTATTACTACCTAGCTCGTCATACTTCCCACTTGTAGTCCCTAAACCATGGTAGTGTAACATACCCCGAAGCCTTATGCTAGCTACCACTTATTCAGTCCCCTCTGGCAAGCAGGCATCAAGGCTGAGCTGTTCAGCTTTCTCCGGAAACTTTGCCCAGGCAGCAGCGTTTGAGTTTGCATTGATTTCGGGCATTCGGTGCTCGTTATGTTCGTGTCTCGGTAGTTATTGCATGCGCTTGCTGTCAGTACCGCTATTCTTGTTGGTTGCGCAAATACTGTATTATTGCTGCTGCTGCTGCTGCTGCTGCTGCTGCTGCTGCTGCGAGTAGATGTGACAACCCGGCCGGTTTGTTTGATGTTGCCTGTGGCGATGGCAGCTATGGCGTGAGTTGGAGCAGTTATCTTGCAGGGCACTGCAAGTTCTGAAGCCTCGTTTGCCCCCCTTTATGCGCACAGACCTGGGTAGGTCACAAAGATCTGCAGGCCCCGAAATATCTTCAGGGCTGGGCTGCCGCGCAAACTTCGAGTTGCGAAAGTCCAAACCCCGAAACCTCAAACCCGCAGTCGCCATGGTCTTCAAGGCAGCTCCTTTCGATGAGCATAGGGCTTTCTGAGCCGGAGCCTCATCCTAGGCGCCCAGACGAAGCAGCCTGAATGTAGGGAAAATCCAGCGGATTTCGCGGCTTAGGTCGACCCTGTCTATATTTGGTAGTGTTTCCTGGAGGATGTGGTAAGTCTCTAACGGAAGCCCTTTCTGCAACAGCACGGCTTAGGATTATCGAATTCAGCCAGAAGCTTTTCATTTACCAGAGCCTGGTGAGCTCTAACATAGAAGCAGAGTGGCAGGCGTGCATGGCTGAGTCAGCCTGCTAGCCATACCCGAGCCGATGCAGGAGCTCAGAAAATGCATCTTCGCATGTTCGACGGCTGGCTGCAGCAGTGCCCCTGCTCAAACGCATGAGAAGGGCAGCTTAACGCCCGAGGGAGAGCTGCCGTTGTCAAATTGTGCAGGTCGCAGTCTTAAGAAAAGTACCTTAGCACGCCCTGAAGTCATGCTGTGCCAGATCTGCCCCTGTTCGATGTCAGGGTTCGGGGAGCCTGAAGAAAAAAGGGCTTAGGGCTTGCGGACTTGGCTTATGGTGCAGCTCTAATCCTTCTGGCCCTCGTTGGGTTTGAGGGCTTCGCAGAATCCTGATTTAATCCGAACCCTGTCATAGTCATAGGGTTTCGGTCGTCTGAGGTTTGATCAGATGATGGAGCAACAGAAGTTTGTTGAGGCCTGGTTATTTTGTGGATAGTCCCGGCCGAAGTCTGACTCTTGCAAGGCCCGACTCGGTCGTGAGAAGCCTTAGTTAGGTTTTGGTCGCCAAATGGCTCGGACTAGAAGAGCGTCGGACCTGCATACGAGTCCATGCCAGGCAGCTGAGGTGAGGATAATTGGTTGCCTTTTTGGGCTCGGGCTGGCGTTTCATCATCCGGCCAGCAAACGAGTGAAGCTCAGCTCTGCAAACTGGAGCCGCCCATCCCATCGCAAGGGAAGCCCCCGGAGCCCGATAACTACCGAAACTCCAGTGCCTGGCATGAGCATCGACGCTTCAAGCAATCTGTGGAAATCCCACGCCTGGCTATGACGAGTTGTGCTGCGGTCCCAAGACCTCCCGTGCTCGGCAGGCTTGTGAAGAGAAAGTGGTGGTGCAGTCACACGTCAACAACCTTCCCATCATCCCAGATGCAGAACTCAACCGCTTGGACACATTGCAGCAAGAAGTCGTGTTGTGCAATGCTGGCTCTTGTTTTTTTTTTTTTCTTTTCTTTTTCTGGTATGCCTTTAGTCAGAACCCCAGTGCATGTCTATTCTGCCGAGCTCTGAAGCTCTACTGGCTCCACCAACCGCCAGCACTCGACAGGCACCAGAGCTGAACCGAATTCTTCCAGAACCCGGCTTCAGACGGTGGTTTCGATAGGATGCCAGGGGGATCCTCTGAGCCGAAGGCTGAAGGGGGACCTTAGGTCCCTTAAACCTGGATCCTAGATTACCATAGATGCCATGTCAAGGAAGCGCAATTCAGGGCGATCGATGTCGAGGGATCTGGCTGCATCACCTTGGCACAGATCGAAGCCGTTGCTTGACAACTGTTCATTTCTTGTGACTTGCCCCACATCTAAAACGATTATACTGCTCTCTCGAGTGCTGGGGCCCTTTGGGTTTCGTCAACGAGTCGGGCGGGCATATTGTTGAAAAATGGGCCACTGCCTTGTAGCATGCGCTTGGTCACTACTGCCTCTTTTCCCGTGAGTCCCGTCCGTATTTGAGGCCATGGGCTTGGACGCCGAGCTGCTGAAGAAATACGATGTGTCGGCAGATGGCTTCATTGATGTGCACGAGTTCGTCGCCGCTCGATGCCTTCGTTTCTCAGGGAGCAGGGGTTGCGAATGTGTCAGTTGGTTAAGAAAGAAGGATTTGTGGTAGGTGGGCGGAGGAGAAGGAGCAGGAGGAGGAGGAGGAGGAGGAATGCAGCAGCAGGTGCAACGGTTGCACTACTGACTACATTCCCACGATAACTGTGGACTGTTTTCTGTACTTTCAGATTTGCAGAACAGTGCTTCTATGCCTGTATGCACGAGGCTTCACGTGTGTAAGTGTCAAGTATACAAAGTTACTAAGTATAGTGTCAAGTACAGACAGCTCCACAGCCGAGGGTCATATCCGGCTTGAGTGTCTTAGCAGTCTTAGCTCTTAGGCATCATCCCCATCATTCTCGATTTGTTCTTCTCGTGCGCTCTCCTTTGCAATGCCAGCCAGGCTTCACTTTCCGCCACCAGCCCAATGCTGTTTATGCCACCCCCCCCAAACCCAACTCCAAAAGCCAACGCCTCGAAGTATAGCTTTTGCGAAGGTAGTCCTCAGCCACGATAATGTCCCCTGGCCCCCAACCCAACAGATCCGAATAAACCCCTCTAGGCCCAAAGCCGACGCCATGAGGCCATGATGTGTCCGGACCATTGGCGACCTCCTGAGATGAGTGGATTTGACCAGGAGGCCTTCGTCCGGCTGTGATGCGTTTAGGGTGGTTTATAGTGCTTACTGTAGGCCTCGGTTTTCGTAGTCAAGTCATAGTTGGAAGGTTCGGAATTCATACTTGCATGCAGGTGAACAGGCGGTTTTGGCAGGGGAGCTTCCAGGCGTAACAAGCCCTTGTGCACAGAGAGCCCCTTCCCGCGATGCCGTGAACCGGATAATGATGACGTTACGAATTTAATCATAATATAATGAGCATACATAAAGGTTATAATAGGCCCAATAATCAGCACCCCCGCGGCGTAGTCTTCATTTCCAGGGCCATTCATGGGGCTTGAGGCTCGCAGACAGGTGCTCTAAGCCCTGCGAGCCCTAACTCTAATTAAGGGCCCCGCACAGTAGAGTAGGGCTCAGAAGACCGAAGGTCAATTTCCCTTTCTTGAAGACATCATGCTGTGGTCTCGGCAGGTGGATTTGAGTCAACTGCCTGCAAGGCACTTTTCCCCATCCTTACCGAAAAGCAGCCCTGACAGTCAATGCTTTATCTTGGGCCCGATACTCCAAAGTTCAGGAGAAGTTCTGAAAATATTGAGGGGTCATTGATAGGATTTCGGGTTGGGGTTTAGGGATACTTAACGAATGCCTGTGAGAGAGAGAGGGATACTTAACAAAATTTGGGATGTGTTGCTTTCGTCTTTCGGCGGAGGTGTTGAGCAGCCTGCTCTGCTACAACGCCAGCAAGATGCGCCATGACCTGGATACTCGGAAATCTTTGTACACCGGAGCTGCCGCTCGGTTTCCCGGTTAGAAAGCTTGTGAACTTTCAACTTCGGCTTACCAGTACATTACAACCGAAGCTGAAAGTTGTACTTGTCCACGTGATTTCGGTGACTAAACCTGTGCGTCTGGTGAAGATCTCGGGCGTTGCGAGTTGTTGCAAGCTGCCTTCCTTCGAAGGCTCCGACATGCTCCGACCTCCTTGCAGTTCCCGAAATTCGTATCTCCTTTTCTCCATGCTCTCTGCAAGACCAGGGTTTCTGTGTGTCTCAGAGCCGGAAAGGTCGAGCGCAAGAGTGCCATGCCGGCCTCGATGCGACCGGCTTCCCGGCTGGAGCTTGGAGTGCCTGTAGGGTTTCAGAATTTAGGGTAGCTTAGGGTTTTGTGGTTTAGGGTAAGAGTAGAAGCCAGAAGAGTATACAACAGACTTCTCCTGTCGGGTCCAAAGGGGTCAGCCCCGAGCCCACAGCCTCGGCACCGAAGAACAAAGTCAGAACTTTAAACTCTAAGTTCAATACTTTAGACCACCAAGCCCATTGCTTAAAACAAAGTGTAGCCCCTAGACCCAAAACCCTTGCTGAAACCCCAACCATGAACCCTGAAAGAAATCGATAAGTTACCCCTGGTAGATTGAAAGGCCAACGAAAAGACACAAGAACAGACGCAACACGCAAACATGCATATGACTACTCATATACATGCGAATGTATACAGATTTATGTACGTATGCATGCATGGATGGTATGGATGTATGTATGTATGTATGTATGTATGTATGTATGTATGTATGTGTGTATGTATGTATGTATGTACGTACGTACGTAGGTATGTATGTATGTACGTACGTAGGTATGTATGTATGTATGTATGTATGTATGTATGTATGTATGTATGTATGTATGTATGTATGTATGTTAGCTATGTATGTAATGTAATGTTGTGCAACGTTATGTAATGTTATGTAGTGTAATGTAATGTACTGTAATGTAAATGTACTGTACTGTAATGTAATGTACTGTAATGTAAATGTAATGTACTGTACTGCACTGTAATGTATTGTAATGTAATGTAATGCAATGTAATGTAATGCAATGTATGCTTGTATGCAAGTCAAAGTCTGTCTGTCTGTCTGTCTGTCTGTATGTATGTACGTATGTATGTATGTACCTATGCACAGATACATATAAATAAATAAACAAATAAATAAATAAATATATATATATATAGATACTAAATACATAAATACATAAATACATACATAAATGAATAAATAAATAAAGAAATAAATAAACAATATATATATATGTATACATACATACATACATACATACATACATACATACATACATACATATATATATATATATAGATGTGGATGGTTATACAAAGAGCCGACTTGGAAACCATTCGCAAGGAGGTGCCGGAGGAGACGTGGGATGCATGGAATGCTGTCTTCGACCGACTGGACACCTCCGGGGATGGTGTGATGTCAGCCAAAGAGCTGAGGCCAGGGTTCAGGGGCCGCAGAAGTGAGGTCATGCGGGCTCTAGGGGGGTTCTTTAGGGTCTTTATGATGGGTCTTACAAGGGTCTTACAAGCTGCTTACGTGGAGTTTAGGAGTTTCGGGGACTTTAGGGGCTTTAGGGTGAAAGCCGCTGGTAACGAGTACACGCGGCAGGCGATTGCAACCCTAAACCCGGACACCCAACGAATCCCAAACCCTAAACATCCCTAAGCCCTGAATCCAAACCCCGAACCACCCAACAGATCCAATGCTGTAAACCCCACCTAAACCCTGAATCCAAATCCCAAAAACCTGAAAAGCCCAAGGCCTAAGTCGGTATCTTGTTCTTCTTACTAGGGTCTGGAATTCGAGGGCTTACCTGAGGTTTGGTTAGGAGTTTACGGTTTTATGATTTAGGATTGACTTTTCCCTGCCCCTTCTGGCACATTAGGGAGATCCGGCTTCAACAGGGGTTAGTAGGACCCTGGGGTTTGAAATTTAGGATTGGGGTTTCAGATTCAGTGGTTTGGGGTTCCGATCTTCAAGCTCGCGTAGAGACTAGTCTAGGTAGAGCTCTTAGTCTCAACACCTAGGTGCTGCTACAGATCGCACACATCAGATACACATCCTGATCCTCCAAGCCTTCGAGACTGTAGAACTCTTGCTATCTATGTTGCGATTCTCAACTGTGCCCTCTGCTGAAGCCTTCTATTCTCCACTAAACGCCTCACTTGAATGCTGGGTTCTTGCCCAAGGTCTGAGCCCTGACGTCCGAAAAGTCATTTTCCTAAACATGAGTTGAAGACCTGCCGCCCCCTGTGGACTCAACCAAAATCGCGACAATTCTAAGGCAGCATGTATCTCGGAATTCTGTCCTCCATTCTTTAACTTTATTTTAGAAGCAACAACTGGTTAGCTCATTGTGTCTGTTGATGCGTGTCTCGTACAAATTCACCTATCCCACGCAGTTCAAGGTCCAAACCAACTTAAGATCTTGAGGGGTTTCGTGCCTGCATCTGAAGGAGCACGTTTTTTTGGGGCTCAGCCTAAACAGGCAGGAACGGAAACACAACAGTGAACACATCTTTTGTGGCCACAGGCCCCAGACGGAGACCCAACGAAATTGCCTCCCCCGTCACCGGGGCGAGCGACCTGGGTCGACTTGCGCCGTCGAGAGGGTGTGCGGGTTGAGTTAAGCACTCGAATGCCATCCTAAACCCGAGACACCTCAACCCAGTGAGAAGCCACAAGAGCAGAAGCAACACGAATAATCGTTGAAAGGTCTTCCATGTTGCTGTCGCAAGAAATCTGCGACCAGATTATCGCGGCCTCCATGTCATGGGCTTAGTCAAGCTTTGTGAAGGATCTGAGTTTTGGAAGTTGGTATGATTTAGGATGTAATTCGTGTATGTAGTTTAACCTGCTGATGAATCGAAATCGTGAGATTAGCAAGGTTCCTGAGTTGACGTCGCCGGGTACCTTCCAAAGGCCGATACCCAGGCCTTTCTGAGCCCCATCCGAAAGCCTCCTTCGGATGCTACATGGCGCGTATATCGATTAGCCCCAAGGTAACGAGGGTAGACATCGTCGCTACTTGACCGGTCAAGGCATAGCATGCAGGCAATCATTTGCGAAACGGGGAACGCTGAAGCCTCGTTATTCTAAGCCTAAGCATCCCACCTTGGCGAAGACATATGGATCGTGGATCTCCCTCTCCAAGATTTGATTTCTTCGGTTTTAGGGTCGTGGGGTTAAGGTGGGCGGGGGGTGGTTTCTGAGCTCTTCAAGCACAGGCGCTTTGGGGTTCAGGGTGTGGGTTGTTGGTACGGAAAGCTTGTGGCTGACCCTCTCACAGAGGGTCCCAGGCGACAGCAGTTCTGAGAACTCAAGTCGATGGGATTGCAAAGCACTCTAGCGACAGACCACGTAGCAGCCCGTGTCTGAATCTCTCGGCCTATGTCCTTGGAGTAGTCTCGCGTCTCTTTGATTCGTTTGTCCCAGGATGGAAGGCAATACCGGCATACCACGCCGTGTCTTGGCTCGGCAGTGAAGCAACTCCGGGACGCATCCAAGCTCTTCACCTGTACATCCAGCGCCCTCACTTGCCAGACTCGTCTACGACCCCGAACCCCTCGTTGGTCCAAGCAGGTTTGAATATGCCAGCCCCAGCCCGGTTTGATTGCCGAAGGATGAGAAGATATTGGATGGAAGAACGTTTGCCAACCTGCGGAGTGGACATGCTGCGAGACTGTGCTGAGACCAAGCTGCTGCAGGCGACTTCTTGCTGGCATTGCTGGACCACCATGTGTTTTGGACGCAGTTTCTTCTTACGTTGTATGGCTCAAAAGCCGTAGCTGGTGAAACCTGCACTGCCGAACCCTTCAACTCGGAGGCTCAAGAGCTAAGTCTGAGCTGTGAAAGGAATTTGAAAGCTGCTGGAAAGGGTGCAGGGAAATGAACACAGTTCGATGGCACAGAAGTGAACAGCCTGTACACGGATGATAACCCGACAGATCGGTCACAGCAAGACTAAACCTTACTTTACATCTTGAGGCGAAGCGGCACAGCAAGTTTGTTGGTAGCAGGGGTGGAAAGCATACTCTTTCAGAAGTACCTACAACACTCCTTCACGAATGCAGCAGGACACACACACACACACCTCCGTGCATCGTGTTCTTGAGTTTCGTTTAAATAACTGTTGTGATAAATCATACACAAACACACATGTATAAGTTGTTTGTTATCTATGTGTATATAGGTATACATGTATGTGCACATATATATATATGTATATGTGTATATATATATATATGTATATATATATATCCGTTACACAACAGGAATGCATGTTCATCGGTGTACGTATGGAGTAAGAATGTGCGCATGCACGTACATGTATGTGTACGCGCGTGTAAACATGTACGCATGGATGCATGTATGTATGTGTGTATGCAGTATGTATGTACGTACGTAGGCAGGTAGGTAGGTAGGCAGGCAGGTAGGAAGGTAGGTAGGTTTAGGTTTAGGTTAGGGTGGGTGGGTGGGTGGGTGGGTGGGTGGGTGGGTGGGTGGGTATGTATGTGTGTATGTGACTGTACGTTATTATGTTTGTGTGAATGTATGTATGCATGTAAGCCTACAGGTGTGTGTGTGTGTGTGTTTGTATGTCCCTGTGTACGTGAGTATGTGCATGTAAATATAAATTTGTATGTGTACGCCTGTGTATGATTGTGTATGTGTGTATATGTAGATATGTTTACATACATACACGTATATACATACATACATACATACATACATACATACATACCTACATACACACACATGCAGACACGCATGCGCATATATGCATATATACATATATATATATATATGTATATGCACACGGTACACATCCCACAACCCATTATATGTAAACGTATATTGCGTGCGTTTGTTTCCAACTGTGTGCTTGGGGTGCATGCACGCGTGCGCAGGTGTTGTGTTTGCGTATGTGATGTGTACATGTATGTATATATATATATACACACACATACGTTCATATATTTTTATATGCACATAATTACGCATGCAGGCAATCGGGATTGTGATGATTCAGGGTGCTTGTGTTGAGCTAGGAAGTTCAGTGGGGATATTCCAGATTTTCTATGGCCATTGCAAATCATGGAACTGATAACAGATACAGAAGTCATTCGCTTCACCACGTTTAAGTCAAGACACCATGATTCCAAAAGCAAGAAGTAAGCAAGAAGGAGGACTAGGTGGTGAGAGCAGGATGCACATAACAGTGACTAGTGGCAGGGGTACAGGCAATTTCATGATGATGGGATTGGTGAGGGTGTTGATGGCGATGGCTGGAAATGAGGTTCTGCAACACAGAGAAACAGCCCTGTAGAAGTTGGTCATGATGCTGAGTGGCGCTGATCATGACGAAGCTGGGTTGAAGATGACGCGCGCGAGGATGATCACATGTTCTGCAAGTTGCCATTACAACCCTCATCATTATCATTGTCGTCGTCACCATACTGCTTCTGAAGTTGGGAACGAACTTATTTTCTTGGCTTTTGATGCTAATTATAGTGATGACGGTACCGTCCTTCTTCCCGGTGATGCGTGGTTGCTCTTGATAACCAGAATAAGTTCTTGTTTTGTCAGTTCTTTTCTACTAGGCCAACTAAAGCTTGATGACGGTGATGCCAGTGGTTGACATTCATGATGATGTGGCTGACTAGGTTGCTGAGGATCACAAAGATGATAATGGTGATCGTGATGGTGCTGGTGTTCACGGTGCCGATGAGAATGGTGATGGTCATGCAGATGGGATAGAACTGCGATGGGGTAGCCGTAAGGAAAGCCAGTGCTTTGTCGAAGTCGTCTCCGCCCACTAAGAAATGGAGAAGACCCGGTTTCGTAATGAGCACGGCGGAGCGCTGAGTGCGGCACATCCCGTGGGAGCCGGAGACCCCCCGATGAGCTTGGGTTTGGGTGGTACTAGTAGCAGCATGCTTGTTGGCTTGATGTCAAAACTCAGGACTATGACCCGAAACACGTGGTGCCACTGGAATCACAAACTCATGTGCCATATGCGTCTGCAGAAGGAACTATACGGCCCAGGGCATCCTCTGGAAAACAGACTTCTTAGCACTGGCAAGAGCTCTTGGTGCAAGACCACTGACTATGGGGATCTCAACAAGAAGTAGTTTTCTTAAGCCCAACTAAAGCATGGTGAGTGCTAGTATAGCATGTATGTACTGCGTGATGAAATCGTAGGCACTATATTCCCACAGCAAGGGATTATTCTGACCATGTAGGGAACAGTATGGAGCTGTTGGGGCACTCTCGTAGCCGACTCATCACGAAGCTTTGGGCCACGGGTTGTTGGGGCAAGGGTTTCCTTCCATAGGCTTTACGGTTCCCAGGACGAATGAGTTTAGGTTTTTAGGATGGACGTTTCGTGGCATGGCTCTCAGACTAAACGTCGAATACAAGAGTCCGAGAACAGTCCGTCTCTGAACATCAACCATCCCCGACAATACGTTCAAGGGTTCGCAGGTCAAAGGCGATCCGGACTTCGTAAATCTTAACTTACATCTGCTGTGTTCAGTTTCGTTGAGGAAGCCTCTCTCAGAAGGAATCCGAGCTTCAAGGTGGCTGTCCATGCTCAGACGAGTTTCAGCCACGCCATGGCTTTGCAAAGCGATGTCTTCATGAAGCTATTGGCTTTACTGCCCAAACTGCACTGCACATGCTGTCCGAGATGTGCTGCAGCCACTCGGGCCTCTCCGGCAGTTCGTCGTGCATACTTGGAAGCGACAAGTTAAGGCCCGAGTAAGACTCAGTCATCAGAAGCTCTTACGTACCAGTTCCAGAGTTGCCTGCATCTTCCGCAGAATCCAAACCCTAAACCCTAATCGCTACCTCAAAGGACCACGCGCCAAGAACCTCGACAGCACCGAAGCCGGACCGAAGCCCTAATCGCAACACCTGAAACCCTGAATCCATCACGGAGCTGAAGTCAGGCCCGTTTTTCTCAGGGGTCAACCTTGCCGAAGGCAAGGCCAGGCATGAAATTTGTGCCACCCAGCCGCGGCATGTGGTCGTAGAAAAGGGGATCTGAACAAATCTTGATCTAACCGGCCCAAATCTGAAGCCTTCAAAAAATCGCACAAGAATTGGCATGAGAGCATGCTCAGGGACTGCGGAGGCACCAAAAAAACTACATGTCCCGAAGAGCAGCTGAGCCCTTCTTATCATCAACAAGCTTCTCGAGGTAGACCCTGCATGGTCGCGGTTATCCGTTTTGGAGGTCCACGTATACAGAATAGACAGATCACGACATCACTTAAGGTGCTTTCTCTAAGGTATTCCTACTTTAGCATTGTCTAAAACTTTCTCAGGACGACAGCCCTGCGTTGCACTTGTTCCTATCTCGTGCTCTAGGAAAATGGATGTAACCTTGCCCACATCCTCTCGGGGCCTCATGAAGATCATGGTTCTGCGCAGCTTCGGGTTCTAGGGATACTGGGTGCTTGGGATACGCGGCATGACAAGAAACTCCGAGACTTCTGCGTTGAGACTCGAATGCATCTGCGTTGTATGGACATGAGTTTCCTGTGCCCACTACTTATTAGTAAATAAGCGTGCAGAAGCGGGGAAGTGCGTACGTCGCAGGGACCATTGCAGGTCTCTTTGTCTGGTTCTGGGTTTGTCTACCGGCGTCTCTGATGGGCCCGGACCACCACTGCGGAACCGTCCCCCGTCGACGGACTGAGTACTACTGCTGTAGCTGTTAGCTAGCGGCTCCCTCACCTCAAAACACCTACTCCAACGGCTCCTCCTCGTGGCCTCCCTCTGTCGGTGAGGTTCAGCGACATGGGCTGAGGCACAGTGTGGGCAGATGATGCCAGCATAACCTTGGGAGTTCTTGTGTTCAGTTGTTGCTTCTGCTCTGATTCATCCTAAACCCGCGCGCCGTATCCTGAAAGCACCAAAATACTGCAATCGGCCCTCAAGCATCCCAACAAAAGCTGTTTTAGCCATTCGCGAAAACTGAAAACGTGACTTCAAATCTCCTGAACACTCATGAAGTTAAAGCCCCAAAGAGACCCAGAGCCTCGATGCCGCCAAACCCCTCAAACTCTGACAGCTCGGTTTAGGGTTTAGGGTTTAAACCCAAACCCAAAACAAAAAGCAACAAACACGAACCGGCAGAGACGCAATAGCCAAAAACACACTCCAGCAATCCAACAACCCAAAACCAAACCCTTAAAGCCGATAGCTGTCATCCTTTGAGCCCCAAACCCAAAGGACCTAAAGGATCCTACCTGTAAAAAGTTTCTGAAGCCTGCCCTTTAACAAAAACCCACACATAGAATCCCACGCGTCTTGCAGGCGCCTTGGCCCGGGAGCAGTTGCAGAAGCCGAAACTTTGTTCAGCGCCTGGAGTGGGGCTTTTGGATCTAGGGTTCAGGGTTTTTGCTGGGATCTGGCTAGTCCCCATGTCCAGTTGCAAAAAGGGCTTTTGCTCGGT